GAGGAGACAACCTGGCCTGATGGCACATTACAAGAGGTGTGCAAACAAACCCAAGTAGCCTTGAAATAAATAATGACAGATAAGTGGGTCAGGTGTCAATGAGCAGAGCTGAACAGCACCTCTCAGTGTGGATCCATTAAACCCTCATCTTTGTGATCTGTTTGAATGGGCTCTCCTCACAAGTGCACTTTCACTGAGGCAAATACAACAAATATATTACTGGACAGTGTGCAGCTCAGTCATTAGTACAGTCATAATTGACCATTTGTTTTAAGTTTAATAATCATGGGTTTCATTTGACTAGTTGATTAAAGCTTTTCCATCTATTTTGTACAGAACAGACATTATTACTATTACAGTTTTTTGTTTTTTTACCACAATGAAAAATTAACCAAGCCCGTATGTTGAAATATGAAGTAAGTACTGACTTGTGCTAACTCCACTTTTAAGAGCTTATACACAGTATTTCAATAGGCTGAACTTTTGTGAGACATTAACTTCAGTATTGGGTAAAAATCACAAAACACATGTAGATGAAATGTGTGTTCCTTTGAAAGCAATGAATTATGAAATATAAAATAATGTTCTGAAAAGCCCATGTAATAAACAGATACAAATGTGTGTTTATATTATGACAAAATATGAGCTGTCAAAAGCAGCTTTTGGCACAATGGTCATCAGAAAACTCAGAGGAGAATTCCCAGTCTGCATTTTAAGAGAGATAAATGGACACTAATGCCTTATTTACAAATATAAAAAATGAAACACATTTGCATGGTTGTGAAAGCCTATTGAGAACAGAGGGAACAACATCTATTCACAGCTTTAGACTTGGTTACACCTTCATGCATTGCTCATTTGTTTAAGTTGTGTAGCGAGGGTCACTTGGGGGACCCTTAACACTGTCAAATGGACTTAGTCAGCACAATGGTAAATGACTATCCCACAAAACATGATACCAACACCAACACACTAATGATTTCCCATAAAGCCATTTTTATGCATCTAAATGGGCCGTAGTTTATCCACGAAGGACCACCAGAGCTAATGCAGTAGTCTACAAAACCAATGGTCATGCTGAGCTGTTTTTACTTATTTATCTGCGCATGAATGGGTCCATCAATAGAGCGCTCCCTGGGCAATGTTTAAGGCCTCTCTCATTGTCAGTAGTGACGTCAGTTGACTATAACATGGCAGTTTGTCTTCATACTGGTAATGGTGAAAGATTTGCAGTGAAATTCAAATTTGTAGCTCAGTCTTGATTATGATGAGCCTTCAGATGGCAACAGAGTCCCAGAGGTCATCCCAACACCTTAAGATTGGTGGTTTGTTTCCAGGTCTACTATTGTTGTGTTTCTGGGCAAGGCATTTCACCCACTTTGCCTTAATGTTGTGTGTGGGTGTGCATGTATGTGTAAGTGATTAGTGGTTGAAGAATGAATATCCACAGAGGCATGCTGGGTAACAATTTCCAGTGTAATAGACTATGGTACTTAATTGTCCAAAAACATGCGACACATGGACAGTTACTTTGCTTAAAATGTATTATTTCAATTTCAGACATTTAAATAGGAAATAAAGACAGAAAACGTTTAATTTTAAAGTAGATCATTTGCTCTGACAACATTACAGGATGGCAGCTATCTCAGCATTAGGAAATCCTTGACCAAGACACCTAAACCCCCTCCCTCCACTCTACACTTGTAACTACTCTAATAAAAATACTGAAGTCAGGACTAGTGTGAGGGTGAAATTAGTTTGGGATAAAGATAAGATAAAGATCAGTCCATTAAAAGTTTAAAAGTGGACCACACAGCTCTGCAGACAGCACAACTGTAACTTCCTTTATCTGATGGTAATAGAAAACACTGCTGAATCAAGCAAATACCACATCTTATAATTGGCAAGTCTTAACCAGAGTACATCTTAGTGTTACATTTATATATACCAGTTGATGCATATATCAATTGTTGTAAAGACACAAATTAATGAATATGATATAAATTGCACATTTCAATTACTGGCCACCACATATTGCTCGGTCACTGCTCTGTTAGTGCTGGGAATAGCAGTATTAAAGGTCCAATATAGTAAGCATTTCTCTGGCTATTTAAACTACTTTGACCACCTTAGTTGTGGTATGTCTGGTATATAACTTAAAATAATGTATGCATTAGTTAGCAAAACTTTATCAACACAACATGCCAGCAGAGGGCGCTAATACTGCATCTGCTGGTAGATTGAAGCTCTGGAGAGGAAGACAAACAATATTTGCAGCATGATTAGTGAAATGTGCATGACTGAAACAAAGCACAACTTCAAATATGGTGTTGATGAGGATACACCCTAATGTTGTAACGGTAAAGCTACATTGAAACATATATTTAGAAGAATAGATATTAAAAAAGCAACTACTTTTTAACTAAACTTCCAAGTTGAGTAACTGATGGAAACTGTACAGGAACCACGTGGAAGTCACTTTCTTGGGGCCCCCTAGTGGGCCATGGTGCCCACTGCATATGCTCAGTTTGCTTTTAGCATCCAGCTGCCCTGTAAATGTTACTGTTATTCTCTAATTACCTATAATGGTAGGATAATTGTGAGGATTTGAGAGGATACGGTCTGTAATACAGAATGATCCGTAAAATTAGAAACTAATAAAAATGTCAAAGACTTGGTTAGGCAGGATCGACGGTTGAGTGCAAAGTAATTTGAAAATTTGGTTTCAATGCTTTAAGTCCTTTCAAGTGTCTTTTGCGGGAAGTTCATAATAATGATAATTGTACAATTATAGTATAGTCAGTAAAATATTTTTTTTAAATACAGATCAGTATTAGTCTGGAATCTACTGCCTCCGCCGAATCTCCAGCCCTGTCAAACGTGATCATGTATCAGATTTGTTTTTTTCAGTGACACGTGAAATGAAGGAGCTTTTACCTCATATTAACAGTTTAATGCTTCGCTCATTTATTCATCAGAAATCTGCAATGTTTTTCAGTCCCTTGTGATATTTTTTCCCTCTTTGGCTAATCCACCTGTTAATCACACATTTTAGTAGTATTGCAAGTATTGAAGAAGTGTAAAGAAATGTGTATTCTGAATCCAAGGCAAAGTAAGCTTACCTTTAACCCTATCCAATGACAAATGCATACATGACAAAAGTTTTTATTATTATTCTGTACAGTTTCATTGCTTTAACTCTTTATGGACCAAAGTTAATTATGTATCCTGTAAAACTGTATGTTAGTGTGGGTATGTTTTTGTATTATCTAGAGTCATAAGGCAATAATGTAGTGATTCACAGTTCTGGATAGAGCCAAGGAAGTAAGGTCAGAGCCACAGCTGCTAGAGAGAGGTGACACTACACTTCTGTGGACTTCATTATATTACCTGCAGCATCTGTATAACCAAAGATGGTAGAAATGAATTGTATCGAATGATATTATATGACCTAGTTTATCAAGCACATGAATGTTCAGTGGAAGGTGTTGTAAAAGGTCCTTCCATTGTGATTGTATCCACATATATGTTGATACATGTAAAGATTGCACAGAACCAGGTCAGCTTTTCTTTTCTGGGATTATATGCTGCTGCCACGACCAAATACTTTTATTCAACAGGGTTAATCAGAGTATGCTATAGGTGCTATGACTCAAAGGGTCACAAATGATACAAAATATGAATGAGTTGACATTTCACACCTTGGGGTAGTTCAGTGGATTTGCAGATACTCCTTTCTGTAACAACTAGGGTAACTAAGGTAACTTGAATGAGTAGCAAAACATATTACATAACTCCACAATCCTTAGTCTAATTTACAGAATTAAACTTTATTTTACTATGGACCCTACCTGAACAACAACCTGATGACATACTTCATTCCAAATTATATGGACATTTCTACTGACTATTACGAGGCTGTTGTGTTTAGCAGTCTGCTCACAAGTGTGGGGCACAATCTGTACTGAACTGAACTATAGATTTTACATTTTACATACAAAATTTTCTCGTTACCCCTCCAATAATGCATGAAATACTTTTCCCTCTGCTTAGCAACATTTTATATTTAATTGCTTTTCATGGTTGAGCTGAGTTTGCCTTGATGCATCTCAACTAATGTAATGAATATTTACACACATATAGTGAGCATTTATTGCGGGTGAATATGACCTTGTTGATTTTGAATACATTCCCACCACAGCAGACCACTCACATTCAACGCTTGTTTTCTATAGGTCTGCATTGGTGGAATCCTCTTGTCCTCCTGTCTCCTTCCATCATTGTTTTTATGTGTTCATCTGTGTTTCTCGTGGGGTATTTAGTCAATTAAACATCGTGCATGACATGTTAAAAGTGTTAATATTGTAAGTGGTACTTTGTAGGAAGCAAATGATATACCATATAACATGATTTAACAAGAAAAAGCAGATACGATTTTACATTTTCTGATGCAATTTTATGCAACACCATTTTCGACCCTGCTTGTTCAATTCTTTGGTTTTCAAATATGATGATGCCACAGTCTGAGATAAAACTGGATCCAGTTTTCTTGTATTTTTATTTATTATAGATGTTGTATTTCTTCCAAATATCCAAAAGGAAAAAATATATATATATCTATGTGTGTGTGTGTGTGTGTGTGTCTGTGTGTGTGTATATATATATATATATATATATATATATATATATATGATATATTTTATTTTTTTTAACTTAACAAGTTAACTATACTTTTTACCTGCTCAACAATATTGTATCTTTTGAATGGGTAAAAAGTCATCAAAATGTTTCACAAACCCAGAAGCTGAAGCCCATTCATATCTCCAACATAAGATAAATTAAATCTTTTCTCCTCCAGGCTCAAGACTCTGGACGGTGAGTTGGTCCTGATTTTTCTCCATCAGAGGACCACCTTTCGGACCTTGGTTCTAGCTGCCCCCACGCCTGCCCCCGCCTGTGCCCCTGTCTGCCCCTGTCTGCCCCTGCTCTGTGTGGGAGTGATGAGGAGCCCTGTGTGGAGCCTGGTTGTGCTGGTGCTGGGGTTCATGTCCAGCCCTGTGAAGGCCGACTGCCAGGGGGAGTGTGTGGCCTGTGGGATCCTCCTACAGGAACAGCAGATGGAGCAAGCCTTTAACACTATGGTGAGTACACAGCGCTCGCGGGCAGAGCAGATAAGAGCAGGGCTAATGCGTCCTGTCAACAGCACACCGCGTGGGCCAACCATCACAAACACGGCCAGACCAGATGAATCCGCGATTACAGAAGCCATTTTATTTTCTCTCCACCGCTGTCTGCTCCTGTTGTGTGGGTTGAGGTTGTTTGGTTGTACTCAAATAGAGAAACAACTTTTGCCAAAAAGTTAAACTTGCAGACTTTTTAATCTCCAAACAAGACTTACATGTGCTACAAGTTTGATAGATCTTTAAAAATCCATTTTGTAAGCCTCAAGGTGGCATTGCTGGTTTTGAGAGATAAGCCGACAGAAAGGGTTTCCCAATACAGAAATCCTTGTTTATATGTGTATGCATATATTTCAATAGAATAGATTACACTTTTCTGTGTAGAGCATCTACAAAAAATACCCACTCCCACATCTCTCCTTAAAGGTGCACTGTGTAACTTTTCTGATTGAAGATATGGCATCTGCTTGTCTCCCTCTACTGAGATCACTATAAGTCAGATCTGTGACGAAACAACATCTCTCGCTTATGTTTCCCAAGGTATTTTTGCACTAAAATACCTGTAATACATTTAAAATGGGTGTTTAATGCCATAGTGTGGAACATTCCAGGAAAGCAATATCTTCACAGGGACAAATCGATTCTGAACACATCACCTGACAAATTGCAAATCTATGCAGATGTTTTCTAAATTACACTGAGCAAGGAACACAAATATCTGCCTTTTTGTTCATTCATTCAATTCAACTGTATATGTGTGTAGAGGAATGCAGTCTAAACTAGAACAATCCCATCTCTGCACAGACAGATCGGGGTAAAAATAGTGTGTGGGTGTCCATGAATCGCCTCAGAATGGCTAATTTAGCTGATAATGATGCAGAGAAAGACAGCTGGGACCTTTTGGGAAGTTGTAATGGAACTATGTAATTGAGTGCGGGCGGGTTTGGTGCGGCCAGCTCTACCCAGTGACTGACACCTTTTATCAGGCGGCATTGTGTGCGTCGTACCCCCCAGAGCCCCAGGTGGATCCTCTCTCCAATCCCTTTTGTTTCCGGCACCAAACAGAACCACTGTGTTTGTTATCATGTCAGGAAGCACTCTGATTAATGCTACCTCTACACACACTGCACATTGATATATACTTTAATCTATACCTTCCTGTTGCCTTATGTTAAGTTACCTTCATCTAAGAGGAAAAAAACAGCCAGCCCGCTAATGCTAATTATGAGCGGTGTAGTCTTTTGTACTCCTATATGAATCCTCTGGGATCCTCCTTTAAGCCCTTTGTTTAAAAGCGAGAATAAAAATGCAAAGACAATGAAGGTCTAATGCAGACTGAATACAGTGAACATAATCATTGAAGCAGCCCAGAGAAGAGAGGGCAATTATGCAATTTAATTAAAATGTGAATGCTGGTTTGGAGGCTCACTGGTGTTGGGAAAATGGTTACTTTATCTGCCTTTGGAGTGGGAGGTCTGGGCTTTGGTGTTGTCTCTCTCATTATGTGCAGGTCCCAAGCCAATAGGTTAAGGTACACTTCATTGTCTTCATGAAAATCTTTTCTCTGCATTTGACCCATCCTTTAATGCTGCTATGGCAACCTGTCAGGAGCAGTAGGTGCCTTAGTGCATTCACTGGGGACCCATCTCTATATCTTGAATGGTACTGTTTACCCAGGGCCCAAAATAGGGATGGGCTCTTCACAAAATCTCTAACATGCAATTTTCATATAGAGAGCCCAACAAGATGATTTGTACTCAGGGTCCAGAATTTTGTACAACACCCCTGGTCAGGATTCAAGACTATCTTAGCTGGAGGCTTTTAACATTTGAGCATGTTTTGGGTTGCTTGCGGAAACCAGAGTACTTGAAAGAAATCCAAAAAAGATTTCCAGAATCCAGAAACATGCAAGTTGTAGTCAAACCTGGAGGAGTTCTTGCTGTGAGTTGAATGCTAGCTTTAACTGGCATTAAAGAGGAATACATGAAGTATATACAACAAAAGTGACTACTGTCTACATAATGTCTGTCCAGAGCAGTAAGCCAGTAAGGGTTGAATTTGACCTGATATTGAACCAGGATCCTAAACAAATCCAAATTAAGGATTATGCTATTGTGCCTGTTTTAGATTGATAAAATACAGACCTAGAAAATACATCCATACAGACAACACACAAACTCCACATGGGTAGGATTAAAATCTGTTTCATTGCTGTAAAATGGACATGTAATAACTGCTTCACCAATGTCAAACACAGTGACAACGCAGTCTTAAGAAGTCAGTTGAAGCAAGTAATTTAATTGATGTAACTTTTTCTGTCAGAATTTGATAGAACCACTTTGAATTCCCAACATGTCTGCAGACTGGTGTGGAAAATGAGGAGTAAATGAAGCAGCGACCGCAGCTAATAATTATAATAACCAAAATCTAATCGTCCATCCCAGCGGTCTCCAAGCCATCCCTTTTTACAAACCTTTTTTTCTCTGATATCTAATGTCCTAACCCCAATAGCCCCATTTTCTTTGGTTTACCACACTTCCTCAACAACACACAAGCCCCCTCCTCTCTCTCAAACTCCGTGACAGCATTGATCCAATAGAAGGTCCCCTGGTGTGCTCATTTCATTTACGATGCTTAATTAATTTGTGCTGATAGACTCGCTGAAGAACTCCCTCTCCTCCTCATTCCTTTGATGCGAACAGGTTTTCAGATAACCAGGCAATCTATGGCTTTTGAGGCAGATTTGAGGAGTAAATGGGATTTACTGCTTAACCTCACTCTGAAATTTAACTTGAAAAGGGCGAAGACTGTGGACACGTCACACATGTGGAGGTGGATGGAGTAGCCAGGGTGGCAGAATGGACTGGGTGGTATTGTTACCTAAAAATAATATTGTTGAAGTAAAGTAATTACCAGTATTGGGAAGTAACACAAGTAGAGAGAATACGTATTCTGAGTCTTAATTTTGATAAATTAGAGTGAGAAAAACAGAAAACACAGCATTTTGTATTCTTGTCGTTGCTGGTTATTACAATATAACTACTCTAGATGCAATTTTTTTGGCAGAAAGGAATATGAATCTGTTTTTGGTGAAGGGTCTGCCACTTGCTTGCTTGCTTTGCCCAGAATATTCCTCATTATGGCATTAAACATATCTATCACCATGGAGACAAGCAGATTCCGCTACTAAGCCTATAGTTTCAGGTCAAATCTGTGGTCAGACATGTGTTTTTTTTCTGAGGTATTTGTAAGCAATAAAACACCTGTAATTAATGCCATATTGTGGAATGTTCCAGGCACAGCAGAACACGGTTATGGAGACAACCGCTACCAGAAAAGTTACATAATACACCTTTAAAAAAAAAACAAAAAAAACTATGCAACCAAAATGTATGTATCCCTTGGTACATGGTCAAATGAGTCAGCAGGTTACTCAACATTTTGACACTGTGCGTTACCATTTTAATTGCAATATTACAACATTCAAAAACTACGTAAACTGTGGGAAGCGCTGAGTGTCAGGTATGAGGATAATTATGTAGGTCGTTGTGAAGTCAGCTCCAGATCGCTGACGAAAAACTCCCAGACGTCAGCTCTCATTTTAACTGCACATGTCGGAGTCATTGAAAAGTATCATTTTGGGGGAAAAGGAACTCATTTAGCAGCTGTCTATCAAAACCTCTGGCAATTTGCTCTAATTTGGTGCTGTCCATCACTCGCTACAAGTGGATGTCAAATTTAAGAAGTGACGGAGGTGTCGCAGTGGCACCTTTCTCTTTATATGCAGATAGAACTATAGCTTTTTTTTTTTCTCTCAAAATCAAAGAGTCTGCCAGCCATTTTATCAAGAATGTTCTCATTAATTTGTTATATTATGAAAATTAATAGATATAGATATAGATATAGATATAGATATATAGTGGAGTGCACTATGTACCTTGATTCACCACCTGCTTATCATGGAGATACTTAATTACTTTGCCTGGGATGTTTCACAGTATAGCATTAAAGTTGTCTATCTTGCATTTCAATTACATTGCATTACAGGTGTTTTTAATGCTATAAAATTCCTTGAAAAAACATTCATTGTTCTGAGCAGTGTCATCTCTCTGACTTGTAACTTGGCCTAGTGGCCTCACCTACTTCTCTCCCTGGAGATAGATATGATTAATGCTGTACAAAGGAATATTCTGGGCAAAACATTGTCCATGGAAATGTGCTAATCCATAGGCCAGTTGTTCTTAACCTTTTCACTCCTAGTTTTATCTAAAACAAAAACTGACTTTCCAAGTACCAAAAGCTCTAAACCAGGTAAATAATAGGAGCTAAACAAGGGTTAAACAAGGCTTGGTACAGTAGTTATTACCAAAAGGTTACCCAAGGAAGGATGAGAAATGGATCAAACTGCCTTGACTGAACTCTTTTTAACTGTTTGCTCCTGTGCAGGTGTGCTTATTGGAGTGTGAAGGTCACGTCTCCTCTTCGCTCACGTGGGAGGTCTGTAAACGCGCCGTGCCTCTGTCCCAGCAAACAACCTTCTCCAACACCCCTCTGCTCTTCAAAAGAACGGGCGAGGAACTGACCCCCCAGGACCTCCACTCGGACGCAGAGGAACCCCAGTACGACTCTGTCCTCACGGAGTCCACAGAGGAGAGGGAGAGCAGAGATGCGGAGGAAGAGGAGAGCCCGCTAGCACCCAATGACGAGGAAGATAATGCTTCCAGGGCTGTGTCCAAGCGCTTCGGGGGCTTCCAGCGGGGTCGTCACGGTTACAGGAGAATCTTCAGCACCCCCATCAGGCCGCTGCAGAAACGATACGGGGGCTTTATTGGCGTGAGAAAGTCTGCGAGAAAATGGAACAGTCAGAAGAGAGTGAACCAGCTCCTGAGGCAGTACTTGGGCATGAGGAGCAGCCGTAGCGGTCGCCCAGTCACCCGTGTGTGGAGAGAAGAGGACGAATCTGCCCCCCTTCTGTAAATACTTGCCCTAGCCCGCCTTCACCGCTGTGTCCCACTCTGAACTGTGATGTCACAAACAGACTGCACCTTCTGTCTGTCCCAACAAGGAATGTTCTGTGGAGTTTAAGATGTGCCAAAAAGTAAAACGAAACATAAGTAGCTGTATTTCAGAAAATCTCTATTACAGAAATGAAATGTATTAAAGCTGCACTGTGCAACTTTTAGGGTATAGGGTATAACTAGGAAACTGTCTCCATGGAGCTATTATTGCTTTGTCTGGAATGTTCCACAATATGGGGTGGTAAACCCTGCCCCTGTAAAGTTACATTGTGCACCTTTAATTTAGCACAGCAGTATAGTCAGATTTTGCTGGTGTTTTGCCCAGTGCAAAACAGTGACATTCAAGATTTCACTCAAATAAACATAGCTACACCAATCTGAACAGTCACCCCTAAAAGTGGTTAGTGAAAAATAGAACAGAAATATTAGCAAAAGAGTCAAATGTATCAAATTTTTAACAGTTGTCAAACCTTGAAGTTATGCTACCCAGAAGATGTTTCCTTTATTATTTTTGGCACAAACTGAATTCCATATTTTTTTCTTTTGACCTTATGCCCTTCTTGAAGCACATTTTCATGCCATTCTGTTGAATAAAAGATTGCCTGGAGAAGTGCCATTGAATATGCTGTATTTTATGTTTTGATCTAATGGGCCAAATGAGATTGGATTTGTGTTTTGATGCACTTTGCTGTGGACTCAACATCACGGCTTCAGCAGCTTTTGCACTCTGTACTTTGTGTAATAACTCTTAATGTATTAAATTAATCAAATCAAATTAATTAATGATGAAAATGAATTATAAATCTCCCTAAACTCGTATGTAATTTGTAATTTTATTCTTTCTCTTAAAAATATAGCCATACTTTAGCTGAAGCTAGTGGCTACTGTTAATTAATGTTATAAGAGTCTAATCTTCTACTTTGGGACTTAATTAATTAACGAAAGAGATATAAAATTGGTTTCCTGTCCGTCCAAAATGAGTCTCGTTCCTAATCTTGCCTGTTTTTTGTGGCTTCCTGCTGAGTCGTGATAAAATATGCCATTTTCTTGTGCTGTTGTGGGATTTGTTAATTCAGAGCTACAATGGAGACGGTGGGTTAGCTCAGACTGGTGGAGCAACAGTGGCCTCTAGTGGACATCTCTGTAACAACACTGGGTAGTTTTTGAGACTCATCTGGGATCAGTGATGTAACTGTATAACTAAACTAATCACACAAGGCAAACAATTCAGGCACTTCAAGTACTTCTACTTCTATCATTTTTCATTCTTCTGATCATGAATTTGAAAATGATCCTCCAAATAAATGAAACATATTTAAATATAAATTATGAAATTACAAAAAACAGATCCAAAATTCGTTCCTATTATTAATTGTTGTTTTAAATCTAAATATTCTGCATATTTATGGAATATTTTAATATCTATATTGATATTAAATTATAAGCAGTCTCACATTAGGCTACTGAAGCACGTAATCATTGTAATTAAGTTGAAAAATAAAGTAACATTATTTGGTAAATTATAAAAATTAAATCCATTACAATACAAAAGGTTATATCGTTGTGAACATACATCTGAATACTGATCCCAGGTCAGTTCTCAAGATATTTGCAGTGTCACTCAATCCTGGACTATTGATTCAGATTATATTAAGATTAATATGTAGGGACCAAAGATCATCTCCACTGTTGGAAAGACAGTTGCAGCTTTTGCTCTTTTGTTTAGTCCGTTTCACTGCATCCAAAAGTATTTTACTGGTGTTTTTGTGCTGAACAAATGTACAGTCTCGTATGCTTCTGAGTGAGTGTCTGAGGAGAGAGAGAGTGCACGTGCATGTGTGTCTGTGTGTAAATAATAAATATCTTGGCATTCAAAATACAACTTTGTGAATAGTTTTAGATCACATGACACCATTGTTGAAGATGGAAAAGTACAATAAAATAGTTTGCTATTTCTTTGGTGGACTGTCGTGAAAATCAATATAAAGTGTGGAGGACAAGTTCATTTAAGTTAGTAAAGACCTACAAGTCACACTTTTTGGGAGGAATGTATTTTATAAAATCAGAGACCAAGAACACACATTTTATCTTGAAAGGACAGTGTTAGTAATAACAATAGAACAGAGAACAACAGGCCATTAACGCAAGACATTAAGTTATTCAGATAGCTATAGCATAAACCACATAACATAACAAGTTTACCTAAATCCACTGAATTCTTCACCCTTGGTGTCACTTCTGAGCAACTCCGTGACATTCAGAGGCAAGTTATTTTAATAGATCCTTGGGTAAATGGAAAGTTCCAGGAAAATTGCATGGCGCATCCTCCAGGTTGCCGTGAAGCTGTGTTCGCCATCCGCGCCTTTAGCCAGTCCCTTATAAGTTTCTCGCTCACTCCAAACTTTCTTTCTGCTGCTTGATTATCATTTAAAATTTTCATTGGTACAGAAGTATTGGTGCAATCGACTGGCATGATACAGACAAAACAGCGGCTCTGCAGGAGACATGCGCAGTAACAGTGGTACAGGAAATAGAAAAATAGATTTGTTTAATCAGATTTAGAATTTTAAATGCTGGTGAATTTTTCACTTTTTTAACCTTGAAAAAAAAAAAAAAAAATTCTTATTCTAAAGTTGCTGAATTTTGCAGTTAACATTTTCAATGTGCTTAAAAATTCAAAATAAAAACCTATTAATCACATATTTTCAAGACCTCAGTCTAAATTCAGAGTACAGTCCCTGACAAAAGTCTTGTCGCTTATCCATTTTGTAGAAACAAAAGCTTATAACTTGACTTTAAATTAATCGATTGGTTTTAGAAATGTCTCATATGAAAGCTAAAACCCTCCCAAATTATGCTAAATAAACTAAAATAAATTTGCTTCACTGAAGAAAGATTGATCATTTAATGAACAGAGAAAGGTCAGATTTTGGCAAGACAAAAAGTTTTGTCGCCTACAGAAAATTGAACAGATAATTTACTTCAAATACAAAAATATGTTGCATAACGTCAGTGAATTAAGTAGTGGTGCTGTGAGATCCATATTTAATATCTTGTATGACTTCCATGAGCTTCAAGGACTACATCCATGCGGTTCAACAATGATTCATACAATTTGTTGATGAAGTCATCAGGAATAGCAAAGAAAGCGTCTTACATGCCTCCCAGAGTTCATCAAGATTCTTTGGTTTTGTCTTCCATGCTTCCTCTTTCATTCTACCCCAGACATGCTCAATGATGTTCATGTCTGGTGACTGGGCTGGCCAGTCCTGGAGCACCTTGATCTTCTTCACCTTGAGAAACTTTGATGTAGAGATAGAATTATGCGATGGAGCACCATCCTGCTGCAAAATTTTACCCCTTTTATGGTTGGGAATGTAAGAGGAGCTAATACTTCTTGATATTTTAGGCTATTAATATTGCCTTCCACCCTGCAAATGTCTCGCACAGCCCCATACTGGATGGAACCCCAGACCAGGATTTTTCCGCTACCATACTTAACTGTTTTCTGGGTGAATCTTGGATCCATGCGGGCTCCAGTAGGTCTCCTGCAATATTTGTGGCAGCTGTGATGTAATTCAACCGAGGATTCATCTGAAAAATCCACCTTCTGCCACTTTTCCAGTGTCCATCCTTTTAGCAGGCTGTGGGACTTGGCAAATGCCACACGGTTTTTTAATTGCCTTTTGTTTAGTGCTGGTTTCTGTGCACTGATTTGACCATGGAGGCCATTTCAAGACAGAATTCTACAAACTGTTCAGGTTGACACAGGGACTTGAGGTGACCAGGCCTGGTGGAGTCTGCTGCAGTGGAAAAGGGGCTGGCCTTGGATTTTCGAATCAACAAACGGTCCTCCTGAGCAGTTGTCTTGCGGGGTCTGCCGGACCTGGGCTTGTCAAAAACATCTCCAGTCATTTCAGATCTTTTTCTTATTCTTTGTACTTGACGCTGAGACACATTGAAGGTGTCAGCCACCTCAGCAGTGGATCTGGTCTTCAGCCTCTTGATAATTAACGCTTTGGTCTCAGGGTGGATCTTAGGCATGTTGTCAGAGGTCAAGTTGCAGTTGATGTGAAGGTCTGGTGTGCTGGGGGTCTTTTTATACACACCCACTAACTGATTGATCAGTATCTGATCACAGGTGAGGCTGTAATCTAGGATTGGGTGCATCATATGACAAGGCGACAAGACTTTTGTCTTGCCAAAATCTGACCTTTCTGTGTTCATTAAATGATCAATCTTTTTTCAGTGAAGCAAATTTTTTTTTGTATATTGAGCATAATTTGGGAGGGTTTTAGCTTTCATATGAGACATTTCTAAAACCAATCGATTATTTGAAAGTCAAGTTATAAGCTTTTGTTTCTATAAAATGGATAAGCGACAAGACTTTTGTCAGGGACTGTATAAAATGTGCTGTGAAAAAAATAAATGTAGGCTATTTCTTATTCGGCTTTCTTTTCTGTGGGCGCGATTTGCAGTGAAGAAATCAGTTTGATAAGGCTAATATTGGCAAACAACCGTTCCTGTTGGTTACTTGAACTAATTTAGGATTGATAGCTAATGCCTTGTTATGTTAGCAGATCTTTTGCACTGCAAAAGTTACACTCTGAATCTAGACAGTTGAATTTGAGAACTGTACATTTAAAAAAAGAATTTTGATTAAAAATAGAACATATGTTGAAAATTCAGCCACTGAAATTCAAAATGAAAGCAATTCCAACATATCTATTTCAGGGTTAAAAAATTCACCAGCATTAAAATTACAATAACTCGACGAAACTTGACGAAACTAATTGTCTTCCATAGAAAATGTATAGGTAATTTACTATAATTGAAATAAAGGATTCTTAGTAAGCTACGATTACCGAGTGTTGGTCAGTGACTCATGTTTATATCGAAGGCATAATAAAAATTGGATTATGGGATGCTAATATTAACATAAATCAAATTATATTAAGTGAAATGCTTCCAAAATATCGAAACAGGACAAAAAAAATCCCCCCAGCAACTAGACACAAGTAAACTTGAGATCTTGAATGCTAGAAAATTTAAAAAGTAGACACTTTTAATCTTAATAATAAATAACCCAACATAAGTTTGACTGTTCTTTTGATTTTCACACACTGGTAGTTGTAATGAGCAATTTAAATAATAAGATAAAGGCAAACTATATTTACCACTATGTATTTTTTCTGGTGGAGGATGTGCCACCTGCTTGTCTCCATGGAGATGTTAGAAGGTTCCAAAATATTTATCATAATAATAATAAATAACTTATCTATTTTCCAGTTCATTTCAGTTACAGCTTATAACTAGAAAAAAAAGAATGCATTGTTACTGTGCCTGGGGTCACCTCTCCACAAATCTGACCAGGTTGCATCACCTACATGACTCCAGAAAGAGAGACGTTTAATGCCATACTAAGTAATATTTCAGGCAATAGCATCTTCACAGAGACAAGCAGGTGGAGGATTGTCCATCAGTGTACCTTTAAAGAGACCTCAAAACACAGAGTCAGCTTCAGGTTTTAGAATGATTAATTATTAAGACAATTAGGACAGCTGCCATAGTGATTAACAATTTAAAATTGCATTGCAAAACTTTTTTGAGGGTCCGTCACCTGCTTGTTTCCATGGAGATGTTAATGCTTTACTTGGAATGTTCCTGGATGACATTAAACACATCTATGTACCATGAATTAATTATGGGAGTTTTTATTGCCCAAAAGTACATTGTCTCTGAACAGGGCTGCCATTCCACAGATCTGAACTGTAATGTAACCTGTAGTTGAGATAGAAAGTCTCTACCAAAATTCCAAACAAAGCAATAACATTTAAAACAGTTGAGTATAAGATGAAACACATCAACTGAATAGGTTACATTAAATCTTAAGAATAACATAAATGTGAAAGAAAAAGACCACCAAAAGTCAAATTGTCAGTGCGTTTAATTTGTGTTTATCAATATATTTCCTTTTTATTGCTATTACAAACTCTTTCTCCTATGTCCACTCCCATAGCTTCATTGATCAACCATAACACTGGTCATATGCCGACACATGGGCAGCAAGGAAATACACCTCATGGAAGGAATTTGGCTGGAGTCAAACCAAATGTAGCTTATTCGTGAGTATATTCAACAAAGTGCCAATAACCATCATTCAAAATTAAAAAGAGAGAAAAAACATTATGTGCCCAAATACAGGGGCCCAACAAGACATTTAAAAAAGGTATAAAATACTCATACGTAACTCAAAGGACACAATAGTAATGTACATCATATTTAGAACCACTGTGTTACCACTGGAAGAAAATTGGAATAACATAACAGCTACTACAGTGAGCTACGAGGGTACGGTGACTCGGAAGGGTCAGATTTAAAGCACCACAAAGCACAATGACAAACGTTGAAATGTAAAAATATATGTGGGCAGAGGGAAAATAACATTAAGGTATAGTTTACAGGGATTATAGGAAAATATAGCTGGAAGATTAGCCTATTGTGCAATGTTTTAAGGTAAAAGCAGACCCATCAATGTAAGAAAAATAAAAGAATAGAGGATATGTAAGAGGAAGTAGCTGGTTTGAGATTGGATGTAAGAAACCAGGAAGTAGCTTTAAATTAAACAGGAATATTACACAGCTTTGAAACCGTTTTTGAAGCAAAGCTATAGGACAGCAGAGTAATGCATGTCTAACTATTGGTTTTTCATACAATATTACTCAAATAGAAGTCCATTATGTTCTATATCTATAAAGCTGAAAGGATCAAGCTATCTCATAAGACGTTATTTCAATCTCAATGGCACTGACAGACTACATGTGAAAAAATGGTCCATTCATAGGCAACAAAAAGTAAAAAGTAAATTCAGTATAATAATTTGTATGTATGTTAACCTTCACTATTTCTTTGATTATTGTTAGAATTGTTAATTAACTTGAGTCTTAATTATTCTGAGCTGGTATGATTACAATTGTTTCTGATAGTGTTTAGCCCTTAACAGATAAATCGTTATAGTTTTTTCTCTGCGATGTTTCAACATTATTTTCTTGAAAACAAAAGAAGTGTAAAAATAGTAGTAGACGTGTTAAGCTATATAAGCATTACATAATACATTAGACTACGGTTTGCAAAAAACATAAAAGATAGCAAAAATAGTATGTCACATTAGATCTATACAAAATCGTCAACACCAATACTTATTTCAGACTGTCTAGGGGTGGGTTTTGCAATAGCAGCATGAGCAGAAGTGACTCAAATGGCAAAGTCAATCACCCATTTACCTAAAGGTTGGCGGTTTGATTCACACTATTTTTGTGTGATTGTGGAGTAATTGAAGAATACATCTTAATGTGAACTACTTTCAATATATCTACAAAGGTTGCTATAGCGACTAGTGCAATAGGCCATAAGTAACATGGTTTTGATTCCACAGCTGATTGTCACATAATCTTACTAATGTGTGAAGAGTCTGCAGTTGTATATTTTGCAATCACTATCCAATAATATACATATATAGCTCAAAAGGGAACTCTAAATAGTAAGAATTAATTAGAAAAACTTCTTTCTTTCTCATCATGTTTAGCAGTGGATGTATTTTTTGCATTATTTTGATAGCAATATATATATAACATGACTATTATGTCTTGGTTAAGGTTCAAGTATCACACAAAATGTGAATTGACCATACAAATAACCACTGTAGGGCAGAAATATCACTATATACAGTTTTTGGGGAGATTATGCTACAAATTTCTGTCTTTTAATGTCATTTTTAATAGTTTTATATACTCAGTTTTCTTATTTTGCTAATCTACAAAACAACAATTGCAATAAGATAAATTGTCAATATAACTTCTACCTCTAACCATGTGTGACTATGAGCTAAAGGTGCACTATGTAACTTTTTGGTTGGAGGTCCAACCGTCCTTGTTTCTATGGAGGAATGTCTCGAATGTTCCACAGTATGACATTAAACAGCTCTATTTTACATATATTAAATTACAGGTAATTTTATAGCTCAAGAATCCTTAGAAAAACAGGCATTCTGACTGAGGGGTTACCTCTCCACAGATCTGACCTGTAACTTCGTCTGGTTTGGTCGCCATGAAGATAGAAATGTTTAATGCCATACAGTGGAGCATTCCAGACAAAGAAATAACATCTCTATGGAGAAAAGCATTTGATTGACCCTTCACCAGAAAAGTGTACCACAGTGTACCTTTAAGCGACTTTATGTGACTAATTAACTATAGTCTGTGTTCACTTAAGGCCCAAAGTTACTGGGATTGTCTCTAGCTATCTACCCACACTAACAGAAATGAGCACAAAAGTGCTAATTATTGTTTATCATTTGCTCATGCTTTGTCCCTTCAGGGCCACCGTACCAGGGAGATAATATCTGAGCTTTGGATAAAAACAGGAGAGTACTGGAGGCATAGCACATCACGTGGTCAAAGTCAGTCAACAGTTAGCACCATCGCAGACCGTGTTCGAAAAAAGGGACGACTTACGAGGAGGATACACAAAAACTCCATATTTGCATTCCGTCGGGAGAGAAACAAAGCAGATAAAAGTAAAAAACACGTAGAAGAAGAACAGTTTTTTTATATAGAAGTCTCTGTTTTGGGGTGGTCCGTTGGTATTTCGCACCTCTGGTTTTGAACGCAGATGGATGTTTTTTTAGTCGGGGAAACGTTGGCAGGCCTTCTTCCAGCGACAGGCCGTGCACCACTGGTCCTTACGCTCCACTCCGTACACTTTACGACACTTTTTGGCCTCACTGCGTCCCTTCCTGTACACACAATGGACACATGGAAGACATAAGTTATCATTACTAACTATTTAAGTAGAACAAAACAAACAACCACAAATAAATAAAGCAGTTACATGCTGGGGCTTTAACTACTGTTAAAACAGTAGTAGTATTATGTAGTTGTTTGAAAGGCTGCTTTTTACTTTTTCTCCACTCTGGCCCTTGTGCACCAAACACCAGGAAGCATCAGAGAGTTTGTCTTTAAAGAAATCTTAAGGTGAGATGGGCTGATAAACACAGAATAATGTTTATCTTCTAAGGTTGAGATGGAAGAGCTGCACTTAAAGGGACTCTAAATGTCACTTTAAGAAAATATCACCAAAGTTCAGAAAATACAGAAAGATTCATAAAATTATGTAGTAAACTTCAAAACAGAACAGAAATATTTAAAAAGGAAAATGTTAAACTGTCATTTTTAGAAGGTTCAGGTCCATTCATCCCCCAATGTGTATCAAAGTACCACACTAGAAAATCTGCATACATGAAATAATATATTCATTTAGTGTTTACCTTAGGTTAGTTGGTGGCACAAGTGATCCTTATTAGAACTATTTAATGTAACAGAATGTATGGATAATAAATGTCACTTATTGTCTAACTAAACTAAATAGTGTAACCACTTTTTTGTTCAACTTGTTTTAAGACTATGGGGGTAAAACTTGCACCATAGTCTAATGGGAAACACTAAATGGCTTATAGAATGCTGTCATCTGAAATGCAGGAATATATATTTTCCAGATACAAATAACACTTAAACGAGCTATAGGTTGGGCCATGTACCTGAAGGAGCAGTGGGTGCGAGAAGGGGAGGCGCTCACGGGCTGGAGTCTGTTCTGTTGGAGCCACTGTTCCCCCACACTGACTGAGCGGCAGCGCGGTTTCACCATCTAACAACAGACAACAGCATGAACATTACAAGCTGGATTAAAGCAACACTGTGTAACATTCTGGAGGTGGCCCTGCATGATTCCATTTAAGTAGAAAGTTAAAAAACATATTTCAGGAACATTCACAATGGACGCAGATGAGTTTTATCATTCCATACTATGGAATATTATAGCCAAAGCTACTGACTACTCTATAGAAGGTTCAAAGGAAACATCCTAAATTAAATCCACAAAATGCCCCTGCACCAAAACTAAAAATATAAACATCTCAGAATGATCCTGAAAACAAGGTCAGCATTTGACATGAACATTTTGGTCAAACCCACTTAATTTAAAATGATAAAAAAGGGAGACTCACCGGAGTGTTACTGTGTCCAGGGGCAGTGGAGGGGGCCCAAGGCTGAGCAGTGGAGTTCCTGGGGGCCACAGACACCTGGATGGGACTGCATGCCTGGGAATATAAACAAATACACTTTGAATGACACCATCACTCATCTGGTGAAAAATGGAATAACTGTAATGTGTTTTGTTTAGATTGAGTACTTGTCCTGGTTTGTTCCTGGTTTAGTCCTGAGATAGACTTAGTTTGGACCTAAGTCTACTTTAGTCCTGTTCTAGTCCTGGTTTAGTTCTAGGATAAGTCCCAGTTTTGATGCGCATGTATGAAGATGAATGAAGATCGTACATTCACAATGTACAGGATGCCCTCTAGTGGATAATCTACAGTAAAGCTCAGTGGAGATGCAAGTAATGTCCAAGATCCATTTGCACAACACATCCAACTTTTCCAGCTGTTCAAAAAAGACTGGTTAAATTTGAAATATAAATATAAAAAGTTAAACAAAAAAACATTCTACACCTTTGAGACAATTTTCGCAATTCTCACAAGATCTTGTCCCATGACTCACATTCTTCCTTCATTTTTTTTGTTATAAGTGCACTGTATTACTGCAGTTACTATTGCAAAATCTCACAAAACTCTTCCTCTAACTCATTAGACTTGTCTCTAGTGCAGTGATATTTGGTCTGGTGCTCACATGAGGCACAGAAACCCCCTTTGTTTCTGTGTGTCTGTGTGTGTCTCTGCCTGTGTGTGTGTGCATGTGTGTGTGTGTGTGTGTGTGTGCATGTGTGTGTGTGTGCGCATGTGTGTGCGTGTGTGAGCGAGCGTGAGTGCGCAGCCAGCAGCACCATGACACATACTCCAATGGTGACCTGTGTTTCACCCAGAGCTGCTTAGACAGGACAGACTGTGCACTCTTCTGCCCGGCTTCACTCATCAAATATGCAAACACACTGTAACAGCTCTCACCTTTGTTTAGAGAACACATAAACAAATAATTAAGGGTGTTCCCCCAAGTGTTTGATGGGAAAAGCTGCACATGTCAGTTCCAAGTTTATTATTAAAGGACCTATATTATGCTATATTCTGATCTATGTTATAATGTTGTTTGTTTCATTCACACATATTTTACACACAAACCCTGCATATTTAGGCTCTAATGAACAAAAGGTAAAAGGTAGCTGTTAACTTGAAAACAACCACTTCATGACATCATAAGATGGAACAGAGGCACTTCGAGATTTGGAGATGTAGATATTAGACTAATAATAAAGGGTAACTTAAACATGTGTCGATGAAACACATTTCCAGTTATGTTTTTGATGAGGCATTATAAAATGGTCTAAAGCTCAAAAGAGTTACTTTTGCATAATAAAGGATATATAGTAATGTTGGGTTCGGTCAAGCGGTAACGGAGGGAAACAGGGGCAGATTTTTTACATTCAAATAGCTCTTATTCAGAAACTAGAGGGACTATTGAAATAAGTAAGGTATCAGAATGTAGGAAAGAGTTAACACTCCAACAGGGTAAAGTTAAACCTGTGATATTCTTTCAAGTTGTTGACAAAAAATAAAAAAAACTTCATGTCGGTAACGGAGGGAATGAAATATGCAGCACTTTTTGGGCAATAAATATAAACAGCGATAACGCGATTTTCACTTATATATCCTTAACAAACTGATTTGAATATTTGCTTCATATAGTTTTCTACCATATGGTACAAGATTAGGTTGAAAAACCTCTTACTTTTTGAGTAATGAGATTTTTTATTAAGAAAGGTCATGGTAACGGAGGGAAAAGTAACGGAGGGAAAATTATGCAAGCAAGTAGAAGGTGCATGATTTTACATAATTTGTCAGCTTTTTTCTTCTGAATACTTTAATATTACTTCAAAATGAAAGGAAACTATTTCTATAAAATATGTCAGTCCTTCCAAGCTAATTTTTATCATTTTAAATACATTTTTGTTTTGAAAAATCATGTACCTTCATCAACAGTTCAAAGATCGAATAACACAAGATATGATGAAATACATCCATTTATTTACATGATTTGCAGGTCTTTGAAATTTGGGAAATAATTTTTGTTCCATGTTACATACATGGTCTGTTTAAAACATATGTAACTTTAGAACCAAAAATGGTACAGAAAAAAGGTAAACAGTTTCATAAACTAGAGTACATATGTATCTGTTGAATAAATTTTTATATCAGATGCATTAACTTGAATTTTTGGCCGTGCTGTTATACTTCTGCTTGACTGGGCCCTGTTGTAAATTCTTATGGTATGCTTAGGGTTGCAAATGCAAATCTCTCTTTCCATGACTCAAAATGTTTAAAGGGAGTGTTTTCATTATCAATATTCATAATTCAAACGTATGTGACCTCACCACTTCTGCTGTTACATAATATTTGTCCATGGTAGATGAGTAGCTTGATTAAACAGACACACACCTACACTTACTGATAAATCATATGTCTCTAATATCTCTCTAAAATGAGCAATCTCTCCCTGCATAGTATTAAAGTGTTAACATGTGGGTTCCTCTGAGTTCTGCAGTGTCGTCAGGGGTAACCAAGCCCCTCTCACTGTCACAGAGCATACATGTCAGACTGGGGTAAACATAGGTCACCACTCATGTGCTGTCAGCTCATGCATAAAAAAAAAAAAAAAAAAACACAACAACGGGATGAACTAAAAATACTACAGTTGTTATTATAAGACTAATTTCTCTCAATAAAACATATCTATATTTATTTAATTCTGCCACAGTTGAAGAAGTACCTTAAAAGCATGCATTCTTACTGCCAGTGCCTCTCCAAAGATCTCACCCATAACTTGGTCTCCTGCTTCATCTCCTGCTTGTCTCCATAGAAAAGAAGGTTAAGTTAAATGCAATACTGAGGAACATATCCGTGGAGAAAAGCCTACGACGGACTCTACACAAGAAAAGTTACCATTTAACTTTAAAGATGCACTGTGTAACTTTTCTGATGAAGAGTCACTTGCCGCCTACTTGTCACCATAGAAAAGATAGTTTTGTCTCGGAAGTTCCAAAGTATGGCATTAAATATCTATCCAGCATTTATTCAATTAGGCATATTTATTGCTAAAAAATACCTTGACCTTAGTATTTGTCCTCAAGCCAGAAGGCTGGCAATTCCAACCTTATCTGAAAGACTTTTGTTGTGTACCTTGGCAATGTAAGCTTGCACTGTAGTGTAAACTTATACCAAAAAGCACATGGTTGGCAACAACACTGAATAAAAAGTCACTGGGCAACAGTGTTTACTTGATAAAAGAAGACAGAATAATTGAGGACAATATGAGGCAAATATTGGCTGTGAATTGAACCAAAGTAAATATACAATACAATAAAGGCTTGTGATTTCCATGGCGAGGTGGATACAGAAATCCTACTTCCTATTGAGTTGCTTTGCAAAACCACAATCCATTTAGAGGCTAAGTCAATATTACAAAGCTGGTTTACTGAATGGCTTTTGATTGACAAGTGAGCTTGTTTTATAGAGTAGAAGGGATAAGGTATGACTGACAGTGAGATACAGACAGTGGACTAGAACAAAAAACAATATGGCTGAAAAGATTAGGACAAAGCCTGTCAATAAACTGATTCAACCCCCACAGTACTACCATCTAACTAATGACATCATGGGTGACATAGATTAGGTGATAAAGGAGACTATCTGAAGTATGTTTTTATGCTTTGTTACAATGCTGTGTAGCTTGTGTGTATTAAATACCTCTGTTAGTTGCTTGACAGCTAGAAAGTAGGGGTTCAAATTAAGGAATCTCAATTTTGGCTCTATTCCACTGTGACAATGAAACAAATATCATTCACACTTGCGTACACATATCTAATCAAAATTGTGCCTAAACTTTGACTAGACCAGGACTAGACCCTGACTAAACCAGAACCACAACAGGACCAAACCAAGTCTTCATCATGACTAAACTGGTCTTTCAGTCTTTTAGTTAGACATTTTCGTTTTTTACTTTTATTATTTGCTAATGGTTTTGTTAAGTTTCCGCGTTCCTTTGTAGACTGTAGAATATGTATTGTTAATTAGGTCCCAACCAATATGGATTTTTTTGGATCTGATATGATACTGTGAAAATGGGCTTTGGAGGTGCTGATAGCTGATATAACAGCCAATATATATTTAGTGATGTAAAAATTCACTGATAAATCTTCAACTGATTCTAAAGCTTAGAGTTTACTCTATTGGATTTTAAATTGGGTTTATTTAGGCAAAATTTACTGTTATTTTGCGTCTTTACACTCAAATTTAAGGACAGTAGGTAGGTCTAATGGCATTTTTGCATGACATTCTAGCCCATAAACAATAGCTTAAATAAACTACCTCTTAGCCTTTAGCAGTTATCCTAAATGCGATAATAAATGATACGCATAAATGTGGATCATTCAGACCTCTATTTCCCGTTCATTTACATATCAATGCAGGTTCCATTACAAGTATATAGCCACTATAGTCACTCTGTGGGCCAATGTAAGAGAAAACAGGTTGTTAATGTGTGGCAGCTTACAACAGCTAAGTGCTAACCAAGTACAAAGAATGAAAAGTAGCTTCAGAACCGACACATTTGCAACACTCACCACTCATGTTCACTTTTATTTATAGTTAATATCTTAGATCAAACACAAGGGCATTTAAAGCTAGCGCCTCAGTGCTGCCTCAGAGCAGATGATGAGCTCAGACTGGTGTAAACAAGAGCACGTGAATCATGTGACGTGACTCTGGGGGTTCGTTCAGGGCAGTACAGTGTCACAGACACAGACAAATTACTCCGTAGATAAATATTGATGCAGCGTCACGTTAGGACATTTATCTGCCTGTAAATTGGATTAAATAGAGATAATATAGGGAGTCTAAGTTTTATAACAAGGTATAACTTGCCCATGAGCCCATATCAGCTAGTTGACCTATAGTTGATACGTCTCCGAGTGCCCGTATCAGTCAATAGTATCGGCCAACCAATAATATCGGCCAGACAATATATTGGTGGAGCCTAATTAGGATTATCCCATATTTAAAATTTGGTTATTTCATGTTTAGTCCCAGAATTAGTCCAAATATAGATTAATTCGAAATGGTACTGCGGAAAACAAAACATCCACAATGCATACTTCAGTTACAATACAGTAAGAAAGTTGCCAATTGCTAGAGGAAGGGCATAAAACTATGCTCAAATTGCCACATACCTGGTAGAGATGTTCGGAGTGGATCTGCCAAAAGCTGCTGGGGGCCGACTGGCTGAGGGTGCTGGGTTTGCTGTGTCCTGATCCAGAACTGGAGTTGGACCTGGGTCTGTGTGCAGGAGGTATCTGAAGTCCAGTACCTCCAGAAGAACCACAAGCGGGGGCCCAACCAATGAGCGTGGCCTGCCCCCCCACCAGCTGCTGTTGCTGGGGTGAAGGGGACAGAGCGATGGAGGTATCTACAGCCTCACAGGAGATCTTGGTGTAATAAAAGTCCTCCTCTCTGTGAGACTGCTCTGAGCCACTATAGGACAAATGGGGGACAGACAGACAGAAAAGAGGCGATCTTAGAGAGGTCCACATGTTTCATCACTTCTACCAGACACTGCTTCCTGAAAATTTCATCTGCTCTTAATGTTTAATGATGCTTTCAAAAATCTCCAGTCTGGAAAGATAGAGCTCAAGTTTACACAATGTCCTTTAAAATATTCCACGTTCCTGACTCCTCTGATAGAAAAATTTTAATAAAATCATAAAATCTATTGTATAGCTGGGCAATATGACAAAAAATACATGTTTTTTTCCCCTATTCAATTATCAGTTTTTTTATTCTATTTAATTTGTCTAAATAAAAACTTTAATTACTTGTAGTATTAGTCAAATCTTTTGGTCCAAAGTCTGAGCACTACTCTATATGTCGTTACTGACAAAGAACTGACTGTAACCTCTTGGTTAAAAAGACACAAGCTGATCACTGATGATTACAAATCACATGTGTCTCTCATATTAAGTGGGTAACAATGCATATTATAGGTGCAAGTCCTCTGCCCAGATTGTGAGTGCTGAGACAGAAAGAGCATCTCTTGTTAAAGGATCTTGTTAAAGATCCTATATTACACAAAATTGAATCTTATGGGCTTTTAGCCATGTGATGTTACTTCTTCAAATACATACCTGGAGTTGTGTTTTGTTTTCACACATGTTTGACTAATCCTTTATTAAGAGTCTGTCTACAGCTCTAAAACTCAAAATGCCCTGTGCCACCTTGTAATCTAACAGCTACCTTTTACCTTTAATTCAGTAAAGATAGGTAATTCCAGGGCTGAAATCATGTACATGATTCATAGTGAAAGTGTATAGAGTTTAAAAACACAGTAGAGTCCTTCTTGTATTACCACATGACATCACAAGGTGGAACAGAATGTTATCCATTTGAAAGAAGAACTCAGTCTAAATATGTCTAAATCTAAATATGTCTAAGTCTAAATAACAAAACACAACTCCAGGTATGTTTTTGAAGAAGTAACATTATGATCACATCGTAAAAAAGTCAAAGTGACTGGATTAATGACAGTGTTATACAGATGTGGCATTATATTCATTTGTGTAATGAAATTGTAGCTCACCCCAAATGCAGCACCCGGATGTGTCTCTTAATCCCCACAGAGGAAGTCAGCACTTTGCCACAGTTGGGCCACAGACACTTGTAGACACCTCTGAACGAGCTCTGGGAACAGAAAATAAAATAAAAAGTTACAAACTGAGTCATGGCTTTGGTTGTCTTCTGGACTGGTTTTAATGTAAAGATAGATTTTTGAGGGGTTGGGCTGTTGTTAAATGCAAATTAAAACAAAAACAAGTGGATTTACTTAGCATTTTGAAGCCAGCATTTCACTATCAACCAGACAGGTTCTTCAGAGTTGTGTAGGTGACTGCTTGTCGCTGTTTCATTTTAACTTGCTTATCATACTTACTGAATGTCTCAAAATTTGCATCAATTAGTTGTATTTATGCACCCATAAAATACCTTTTCACTGAACCCTTAAACCCCTCACACCATACCAATAAATAGTCATATACTGTACCTAAGAAATATACTTGTTATGTATACCACCTATTTGGTTTATCTGGGAACTACAATCATGAAGAAAGAAAGAAAAGTCAAAAGTGTGGTTTGGCCACAGACAATCATAGACGCAGTGTGGTTTGGTATTGTTGGTGATACTGACCTATTTAGAGAATGGGTTTTCATCATTTCAGTTTCAGAATTGATGAAGTAGTAACAATAACATTTTTTTAAATCTTGTTTGTTACTGAATATGCCCTGTTGTGAAAAATATCAGTCAAAGACTACAAGCTGGTATCCTTTCTTTACATTTGCAAAACAGGAAAATCGCTTCCCTAACTACAGACATCATAAGAAATCCAGAGACAGAGACTGAACATTGTGGTAAGTACTTTTGGTCTTTTGGCGTTGTGCTCGTCCGCCTGCTCCATCTCCATGGGTAGCCCCTCGTCAGGACTACTGTCAGCCTCGATTACGGACGGTGAGGGGGCGGGGCTCACGTTGCCATGGTCCCAGCTCCAGTATCCACTACTGCCACTGTCGGACAGCTCGCCCCCACCACACTCCATGTCCACGGACGAGGAGGACACGGCTATAAGGATAACACAAATATAGATTTATAAAAACTCAAATATGACAGATTATTTTGTAATACAGAGGTGAGGCAGTTATTTTTTGCCAATGGCATACAGTGATACAGGCAGAGTGTCTGGCCCAATGACACAACTAAACAGATGATGCCACTAGCAGTTCCACTCCTACACCTTGGTCTCTGATGTTTGTACTATGCGTTCTAGTTTTACCTGCAATATCTCATGATAATTATGAATAAGTCACCTGCTTGTCTCCATGAAGATGCTATTGTCTAGGCTGGAATGTTCTGTAATATGGCATTTATCAATCTTCACGGAGACAGGTATTTCAGGTATTTTAAACAATTAAATGAGAACTTTGCACATTCATTTCATGAAGATGGGTGCGTTGAAAGTGAGGAAGAAGCCCAACATAATTCAGTAGAGCAGGGAAATACAAAATCACTCAAACATTGATGAATCACAGAATTAAACTCTGAGTAAATTTATGACGAGGGACATGATCATATCATGTTTTAAAACTCTTTTGTATAATATCTCTCATTTAAAAATCTGTTTATGCAGTGTAATGTGGTTCAGACCTGGTCCTTGGTCGGTCTGGGGAGGACTCTGCACCACTGGACTACAGGACAGACTGGTCAAGACCATAGCAGCCATGATCTCATCCATCTCCACTGACTCAGGGCTGCGGAAACTGAACACATACAAAAATACCAATTTAAACCCCTGTGGTGATCATTACAGTCTCAAATCAAATATCAATATAAGTACATTCAAATGATCAGACACCTGCCCCTCACCTGCAGGATGTGTCTCCGTTGGTGATTTGCATGGAGGGTCCCAGTGACAGGTTGGTCCAGTTTGAAGTCTTGTTCAGTTCCCCCTTTCCAGTCTGTGCACATACCTGAAGACATATGAAGACATACTTGTAATAACAAGTATTAAATGGCCACTATAGAGACTAAGAATAACTAAGCAATAACTATAAGATGTAGGGTTGAATGCTTCTGGATAAATATCAAACTGAATTTTTTCTGAAATGCATTACAGTTGTGTGTTTTGATTAATGTTTAAAAGGTAGGATTCTGTTCAAAGTTCAAACTTGAAACACACCCAGAAGCATTAAGATTGAAATAGGAACTGCTAAACTTTTTGATAATCTTTGTAGAGATCTAAACTACAGGGTTACATCACAAGAGTTGAATTTGTGCAATATAGGGCCTTTAAATAATGCCAGTCTTTCAGATTTGCTAAATATCCTAAACATAGAGCGTGCATTGACCTGCATGTCAGGGGCTGTGGTGGTGGGTTGTCCTCTCTCCTCTGGTCCCATAGCTGCCATGGTGCCACCGCACTCAGTAAAAGGGACTCAGCACTCAACACTGCTCCCTACAAAAATTAGGAACTAAAATCAATGGTTGAAATTTGGGCTCAGAATTTTAAATGAGACCAAGATTTAGGCATTTCTAATTGTCAACAGTCACATTTTTATATAGCACTTTTCCACCTTCAAGGCACTCAAAGCACTTTACATCAAGGAACCACTCACCCATTCACTCACACATTCATACACCAGTGTATGCAGACACTGGGGGCAAGATGGGTTAAGTGGCTTTCATTTCATGCTCAGGACTTTCAGTAAAAGGCCTAAGCTGCAACAAAAAAATAACATAATGAACCAATAATTAGCCATAGAAGTTAGTTATTCAACCTTTTACAGATCAAATCTTATCATATTACAACTAAAATAACAAAAAGCTCCCCACTTTTGCAAAGAAAATGTACACATGATAAATATAGAGCCCTAAACTATTTTGTTCTAGCTTTCATATACTAAACAATAACCCGATATAGTAACTATTGTGACAGGCCTATGCCCAATCATATCTGAAATATGTGGGCAGCCTCATGTTTGGGAAACATAAAACAGTACACCCATAGTACGCAGATGCCATGCAAATACTATTCGTTTATCGCCAATTAAATCAGAAGTTAATTTGATTATCTCAGAGCAGCAGGATGTCGACAGATCTCGCGTTTTATTACCGGCAGGAGGACGTTGGTGATAATGTGCTCTTCAGACTTAATCTCTGGTTTGGGTGCCTTCACTGAGGCCTGCAGCTACAGGGGTAAAATGGGGTAATAGTGCATTCAGGGAACACAAGAAAAAATGTCTACTGCATATCTACAGCAACCTAGAAATTCCTTTAATTACAGTGTATGGAATGAAGGCAGGAAATTGGTATTGGTAATAATTTACTAAATATAAATCATAAGTGATAAAACTGTGCACTATGGGTTTTAAATAACAAATGCAAAATTTTCCAGATTTTCATAAAACATTTTTGTATATTGCTGGCAAAAAAAAGAAAAAAAAGAAAAAGAAAAAAACTGAACCCATAGCTTCATTTTCTTTGAGTAGCATGCATGATGTTGGTCAATTTAATTTTATTTTTATCTAGAAATTTGCCTTGGAATATTCTATTAAGTATTCAGTTAATGCATTTGCTTTCTTTACTGCTAATACCGCACTTAATAAATACATTCATGTAAGGGCAGTTTATGCAACATTTCTTTAAATTCAAGGCATTTTTTTTTTCTTTTTAATTAGTCCAACCTAGGCCTATTCATTCTAGCACACTGTTACTGCTTTTGCCTTCATATTTATTGCACCTAAATGAATTGAAATGGGGACAACCCATTTCTCCTTTTTTTCTCTGTGCCTGAACGTATCTCAAAGCCCATTTTCCTGCAGCTCTCGACCAATCAGCGCCGAGGATCCGTAGTAAACAAGCAGCGGTGCGTGGGAGGAGCGAGGCCTGTGATTGGCTGCGTTCGGATTTCGCTGTACACACCTCCGCGTCTGCAACGTGTTCGGACACGAGTTTCGCCGGGAGGGTCGGAGCAGGACGCCCGAATAGCGAGGAAAATGAGATCTTTAACTTACAAAAGCCAACGAGCAACCAATAAAACTGCTATAGCAACACCGATCACAATATTTGTGTAAAAAGTGAAACTGTGCATGTTAAGAAAGAAAAATATTGTCAAAATAAGCGAAAAATGGTTGTTGAGATCCACCAATGAAAACAAAACTACCCCTAAAAAATGACGCTTGCAATTAAATAGAAGCTCATTTGAAATGCACAAATTTGATTACACATTTTCCAGTAACATGCAGCAAAATGGATAAAAATAGCACAAAATAATGCGCATTAAGCTTCAAATAGTCGTGTGTTTACCGATTGCATAGCCAAAGACGCAATCAAAACCACATATTCAACGATCAAAACTACCATACGCATAAATGTTAAGTTTATTCAACATTATCTGCAAAATCTGTCGAGTTTATTGTGTTGTAAACTGACTCCATCGCTGTTCTCCACCCGGCAACGCAGATTTAAGACGAAGTGAAAGAGCTCCCCCTCCCACCCTCACCGAGCCAAACGAAAACAACAATTTTACTTCGCCTTTTCCGCCATAAACTCTGATTTTTACGCACAATGATAGCGTATTTATTGCACTTACAGATCTGGTGTCCTGTCTTGGCACCTCGACCGGGCTGGTTGGCTCAAAGTTGGCCGTCAGTCCACCTCCTCCTCGCCGGCTCGATGTCTGTCTACACCGGGGAGAAGCAGCCGAGGAGCGAAGGGGGTGGGTCGGAGCGGCGCCTACGTGTGCGCGCTGATCGGACCAATGCCGGGGGGTGACAGCTGTACACGAGATCCGAGCCTACTGCGCGACCACCGTCCACAAAAGGATGATGTAGGTGAGGGGTTACCAGCAGCACAGAAGCGGCAGTTGCATCCTCCTCCTCTCTCTTCCTGTCCGTCTGTCTGTCTGGTACATGTTTGTCCCCACGAACCCTGAACGCATCACTGTGTTTATCTCATGGTTCCTGTTTATTCTGGTCTGGTTGCATTCACAATAACATGCATTTTCTTCTGTTATGAGTTTTATTCTAATATGCATTAACTTTTGCAACATTTTATTGAGATGCAATGGAAACCTAAGGCATCCACTGCACCCATGTTAAATGCAAGACTCATCATGGCTATTTATATCACTGTGCAGGGTGATGTCATTGTATTCCAGAGCATAACATGTGAGGGGAATCTTGCAAAAACACTTCCACCTGAATTCACTTTCTGCAGACAACATGTTTTAGTCACCATAGTTTATTACGGCATTAAATATAAGACTATAAACTAATCACTAACTCAAATAGCTGCTGGAAAGATGCATGCAGTGACATTTTAAAGGGCCCATATTTTGCTATTTTCCGATCTATGTTATAATGTTTCCTCATCAAAAACATACCTGAAGTTGTGTTTTATTTCTTTTACATGTTTAACACACAAATTCTGCTTCTATCTTCTTTCAAACTGAAAACATTGTTCCAACTTGTGATGCCATGTGATGATGAAGGAAGTGCTCCACTGTGTTTTTAAACTCCATACACCTTCTCAAGAAATATTTGGATAATTTTATCCCTGGTATTTCCAATCTCTACTGAACAAAAGGTAAAAGGTAGCTGTTAACTTGAAAACTACTCCTTCATAACATCACAAGATGGACCAGAGCATTTTGAGGTTTGGAGATGCAGACAAACTAATACTCAGACATTTGTGAATGAAACAAAACACACCTCCAGGTATGTTTTTGGGATGTAACAGCATTATAACATGGGTAAAAGCTCACAAGAGTCAATATTAATATAGGACCTTAAGTTAAATGTGCAAAATATTATATAATGCAGTGTAGCTTGGAAATTCAGGAATCAGTCAAAACTAACTGAAGATGGACACTCTATTTATCACTCAACAATACATATAAACAGTGTTAATTTTGACAAGAGGTAATTTTAATGTTATTTTAACTATGATAAATGGTATTGCATTTGTCGATGGGACATGCACAGATATGTTCCTTGGTGTTGATTTTGTCCAGTCTTGCCTGGGGCTCTGGGATCGAAAAGTGGACCTTGTAAGTAATCCTCACTCCTTCATTTATTTCTGTTTAGTTTTCATTATTCACTTAAAATATTAGGAGGGTACCAGCAAAATTATGTGACTGAGCAGTGTTCAAAGTGATGTTTCTTAGCTATTACAGTCTTGTAAATTCTGTTTAATTTCAGCATATATTTAGTCATCTGGTTAATTTTCCATGCCATTTATAGTGCAGTTTAAAACAACCGCTATTTTTAAAATGATGGCAGGTAAACAAGCTCTAGGCACAGTAGGCAGTATCTTCCTCTGAATCCATATATTAAGGTGTTTGTTGTGCTGAAGCTCATACTCAGAGGACAGGCTCCATAGCAACTGCTCTATAACATAAAGACATATCAGTGGGGAGAAAGTTGTGCTGCTGGGTACACCATTTTAACAGTATGGAACATGCATCTTTCCACAGATATTACCACACAATGAATCATGCCCCAAACATTAGTCAAAGTAAATGTTATTATTATAGTAGCAAGAATAAAAATACAAATAATGTCATATAGCACATTTATTTACAGAAATTTGCTTTAAAATTTTATTTTTATTTTATTTCTTTACTTGACGACTCAGATGGACAAAGCCGACCTGGGGCAGATTGATGGAAGTATGCCTGGCATTCTGTGCTTATGCTCACTCCCACCTCCACTGAAACATTAATACAAGTAAGGTAGGTAAAGTACTTCATATACAGTATCAAGACATATTATGTTATCGTAGAGAGTATGCATTGTGAGCAAACCTAAACTTGCACACATAGTGCACAAAGTGTTTATTAAAGTTGCTAAAATACAGGAGTACTTTATACTTACTACACAATATAGTGGCCAGGTTACAGCATTTGAACATGGCTAAAAGCTCAAAAGAGTCAATTTTGTTTAATACAGGACCTTTAATTAACTCATCTTAACCACTTAATTCTTAAAACACAATTTGTTCATTATAAATTAAGCCTTTATTGCTTTATTAAGTCTATTAAAAGTGTAGTGATTTTAAAGTGTTACTAAATATTGTGAATGTAACAGTATCCACTCCCAGATAATCACATGACAAATTAGCCTTGTGCGGCTCTGTCAGGTCCAGGCTGTGTGTTGCGTTGGGCGGATTAGAGCGCCCTGTCTGTGCCCTGTCCCACCAGACATCCAGTCAGCAGGGATTTTAGAGGCAGGGAGAGTAACCCAATCCTGTGCCCTATGCCCAGACTGTGCCCAGACTGTGCCCCTCTCCACCAGTCTACACTCATTAAGTACTTTGGGCCAATGGCAGCTGCCACAACACTCCCAGACTGAGACAGATAATGGGTTTAGATTAGAAAATACAGAAATGTGTGTTTTTTAAGGGAATTTATAATTAAAGGATTGCTTGCTGATATTAAAGGACCCATATTATGATTTTTCTGATGTATGTTATAATTTTGTTGAGTTATGTTTTGTTTCATTCCGCATATTACGATGAGTTCCTCTCTCAAACTAAAAACATACACTGTTCCACCTTGTGGTAATACAGCGCTCCACTATGGTTTAAACTCTATACACCCTGAATTAACCCATTTGAATAATTTCAGCCCTGGAATTGCCAGTCGCAGCTAAACAAAAGGTAAAATGAAGTGGTTTACTTAAAAACTACTGCACCATGACATCACAAAGTGGAACAGAGCATTTTGAGCTTTGGAGATGTAGACAGACTAATAATAAAGGATGTGTGAATGAAATAAAACACAACTCCAGATATGTTTTTGATGAAGTAACATTATAACATGACTAGACAAGAGTCCATTTAGGACTATATTGGATATTTTAATTGCTAAACTAATACAAGAATCACAATCATTCCAGGATATTTTTGTAAACAACATTTAAACCACAACAGTTTTTATGGCCCTCATTTAGAAATATTGGATATATACAAGTCAACTAAGATGATTCTTCATTATCAAAATCAGAATTACTTTATAAACATATAACTTGGACTTGGATCTAATAGTCATTTAAAAGCTATGAAAATTTGAGACTTGAGGCACTGTACGTGTTGTGGTAAAACCGAACTGCATTAGCCCACATCTTACATCAGTGAGAACAGCAGTGAAGAATTTTATATTTATTATATTTGCAAACTGTCCAAAAGACATTACAGTAGACATCTGTTTTGCACCTGCTCTGAAACAACACCAGAGTCACTGGGGTTATCAGGATATCAGCGCAGCCTGGGTGTGTCTTGATCAGTGTGTTGACAAAAGTGTTAAAATAAAGGCCACAAACTATGTCAGGAATCAACTTTGACAACAATAGACACCAAGCAGCTCTTTTGGGCAGAGCTCAATCACAGCACTGCACCTTGTAGCTGCGCAAAATAGATGCCTACAACTTACCCACTGTTTTCTGTCTAGAGTTAGGCAGTGTTGGGTAATAAAGAGATACAATTTTAGGTAAAATTTTGAACAAACTATACTTCTTAAATTTGTCTTAGCATTCAGTTTTCTTTTTTAATATTTTGTACTTAATTTCTACACAGGAAATGGGTGTAGTGTCCATAAATAAACATGTAGATTTATGCAAATTAGCCATGTGCACAGCATTACACAATAGCTGTGTCTGTGTGACTTTTTACCAGTATTAGGCTTTTCTATATTGTATGTGTTTTTCAATTTTGTAACAGCAAATATACAAGGCTACTGAGTTGCCATAATTACATGGCCCTGTATCTGGGTGCATCAATTGTAAATTCTGTTAATTGTTAGATAATGGTGCATTTACCTTCTCTGGACAGATTCATCAATGTTTTCCAAGTAATCCAAATGAACTTCTGTTTCTGTTTACAACTTTATAATCAAGTATCAGCAGTAGTGGTTTAATCTTACAGGTACAAGCTGCTAGAACCTAACTTAAATAATGTATTATATAACACAAATGATGAACATATAGCACTGAGGCAGGGTTTTAGCAAGTTTATTTAGTTAGAATTGCATGGTATGAAGCTGCATTACAAGAACAGCCTCACCCGCATTGTCAGACCTTTGATTAATCTCCAGGTTTCTGTCGGACAAGACACCGCTCCCATCCCGAAACCCTCACTCGGCAGATTTAAACAGAGATCTTTTATATGCTAAGAATTTATTAGTGTCATCAAGATTGTCCTTTGTACAATATGAGAGAAGTAAAAGTATTTTACACATCCCAGAAACATTAAAACAAAAGATAAGTGCTACTCAAACACACATGCCTTTACCGCCTTGTTTAAGCTCTAAAATATAATGTGTTCAGAGCGTAGACTGTAGACCTATAGCATTTGGCTCCAGTCAAATGAAGCTCACAATGGTAGTGGTTATAGGGGTGAATTTTGAGTCAAGATCCATATTCGGACAAAATAGCTATTTAAAGAATCCAGGATCATGTAGAGCGGGTTAATACAACATTTTAAGTGATGAGGCTCACTGCAGCAGTTACAGAGAGAGGGGTGAGAATTTCTCCATGCAAAGTTAGTTGGAGCCAGACTTGATGGACCGAAAAGTGCCCCCATGATCACTTCTTATTTGGAATGCAGCGGTTAGCTATGTCTATATATATACATATACAGTGTATCTGACTAGTCATCAAAAGTATTAGATTGTAAGGAAGTACAGAAAGGTTGGGAACCACTGCTGTGAACTAAATTAGTTTAGAAAAAAAAACAAAATTATTTTAAGAAAAAATTAAATAAAAATGCACAAACAAGCAAAAAACACTGTTGTGGCCCTGTTAGCTGTCATTGTTTACTGCTGTCTGCTCAGAAGAAGCATCATTACAAAAACAAAGTTGTAATGTTCTAAAACTATTTTATCAGAAGACCATACTCTGTTGAAATAT